CTTTCAACCATTTAAACATACTAAACTGACACATCATCAAAACTGACGTGTTTTCTTTAGCTTCACTGAGACTTTTTGGCTTTTTAGACTCCTTAACTCTACCAGAGATTTTCTTGTTTTGGGAATGAGAAGGCTTCATCCACGTTTGCACTTCACTGAAGTATCTGTCCTTTCCTTGCACATTTTCAGCTGCTTGTACACAATCATTTTCAGACTTTTTTTTAAGGTACAGTTTTTCAGCGTTCATTTTCGTGTAGAAATTGAGTGCCCTGGTTTTGCCAGTCCATGGCATTCAAGCACCACCAAAAGTAAAAAGGCTCCAATCTCATGGAAAACTTCACAGTAACCTGCAGACAGGGTGCCTCAACATCTTCATCTTAGCCCTTTAGATCTTTCTCGGTACCCAGGGCTCTGCAGCACTTCCTTACCACCCGCTTTGGGCAGGTGACTGTCTCAGACAGAGGCTGGGCTGGATTTTATAGTCCACAAGTAACTAACAGGACATGGAAGAACTGAAAAGCAAAACCTGGGCTTCTACAGAAAATGCTTGACAGTAACTAGCATAGAGGTAGTTCTGTGTTCTAGGAAAGGCTTCTTTAAAGCTTATTCAACCCCAAATTTATAGTGTTTTATTTCTGCCATAAAGCCAGTTTACATTTACAGTCCACCACCTGAGTTAATAGAAATAGCAGTAGTTGTAACTACTGTATGGTTAATGAAGACACAGTACATAAAATGTAAACTCTGCTGATTTTCTAATTGGCATAAAAGCCTAGATACAAGAAAGTGGTTTCTATAACACAGTACAGTTAAACACGAGTAATTAACACAAATGAAATCTTAGATTTAGTAAGATTTAGATTTTCATCCTAAGAGATTTTTTTTTTTTTTAAGATTTTATTTATTCATCTGAGTGAGAGAGACAGAGACAGAGAGAACACAAGCAGGGGGAAAGGCAGAGGGAGAGGGAAAAGCAGACTCCCCGCTGAGCTGGGAGCCAGACACAGGGCTCCATCCCAGGACCTGGAGATCATGACCCGAGCCGAAGGCGAAGGCAGACGCTTAAACATCTGAGCCACCCAGGCACCCCTAAGAAAGAGATTTATTTTAACTGTATTGTTAAATATTTCATGTGTCCTCTAGAGCTGTTGCTGTCCAGTACTACAGCCGTTAGCTGCATGTGGCTACTGAACACTTGAATGTGACTAGTTCAAATTGAGATGTCCGTTGGATTTTGAAAATGTAGTGTGAATAAAAGAAAGAAAAATATCTAAAATACTTTTTATGTTGTGCATACATTGAAATAATATTTTAATATGTTGGGTTAAGTATATCGTTAGAACTACCTTCACCTGTTTCTTTGTATTTTTTAAATGTGGCTACTAGAAAACTTAAAAGTACATACGTAGCTCACATTTGTGTCTCACTTTATATTTTTATTGGATAGTGCTTTCTCTAGAGGCTAAGGGGACTATAAAGTGTAGCTACACTGCAATCCCATCAGTAAATATTTTTGTGGCTTGTCATAATTCGTTAGTCACTAATTCATAGTGTATCATGTAAATTCAATACTTCTCAATGTTTATTTTTGTTTTCTTTATACCTCTCGACTGTCAAACAGTCTTTTTCCTTTCCTGAGAATCCCTTTCTTACTTTGCCTACCTGGCAAATTCTTACCTTTTAATAGTTTGTTGAAGCACTATTTCTCGGTAAAATATTCCCTAAACTCCCTCATCCCACACCAGTATTCCAGGTAGAGCTAAGCACTGTCCACAGGGCCAGGACAGATTCTTGCCCAATATCAACTGAATGCTGTTTGTTGGGCACAGGGATAGGTGGTGGAGATCAAAATGTGAACCAGAGGGATACGGATCCTGCCTCTGCCGGCAATGCTCGCATTTAGAGTGGGATACAGGCACACAGTGGTGTGAAAAAATGCTATTAACAGCAGAGATTCAGCGAGCACCTCATAAACATACCTTTCCCAAACTACTTCTTTGGGAATAGTGATGGTAGATAATCATATTGAGCCTGAACTATGAATGTCTGATGCCGTAGGAACCCTGGGTTTATAAAAATACTTTTGTGTTTAAGTATATATAAACTGAAGGGTATCTTTTTCACATCACAATTGGTTAAAATGAGAGTTGTCTTTAAAATACAAATTACTGAATAGGCATTCTTATATTACATATATGCCCAGTATCACTGCAATGATTCTCTTAGCCAGGAAACTTAGGCATTGATTTTTCAAAAACAAAGAACAACAACAAAAGAGCCCCACCAGAATTAGCACGATTAAAATGAATTCCACAAAAGGTACGTAATTTACTTTCACTAATGCACTATCAAAAAGAGCTCAGGATTTCAGTGATTGGACTTTTGTGGGGTTGAGAAGATAGATTAATAAATGGTGAGCAGCTCTGTTAAGTCATCTAACAAATGGCTGTAGACTTTTTAACACTAGCATTGTTGGGCAGGACCAATACTCTGCTGGCTGGGTCAGTTGTGTAACCTCACTTATTTGAAGGCTGTTTACCTACAAGTCTCAATGATCCAAAACCCAGTTAAGGAGCAAAAACAATGCTTTTCAAAGCAACATTTGAGTAGTCTGGATAGCTGTCCCAAAGTCTATGCATTGAGGTTCATGTGTCTTACTCCTTGGTGAGCACTCAGTTTCTTAAACAGGATCTATTTAGTTTTACTGTACTGAATTGTGACAAGTGAGGTCATCTAGATTCCCAGTCTGCACCAGACTAGAAGTTGCCAATCAGAAGAGAAGGAAAATACTAGAGGCAGGCATGCTGTGGCAACAGAGAATAAGGACAACAGATTGTCAGTTAGTGAAGGGGAAGAGAGAAACTACAAAAGGCAGAAAGAATCACTAAGTCATAGCATCCTAGAGTCCTTCAGTGCAGCCATTGATAGCTTATATACTTCCTGGGAGCATCTCTTAACACCTAGGAAGAAGCCGGATATAGAAGAGAAACTTGATGTATTGTTAAATCCACTACAACCTACCACAATAAACACTTTAATAAAACTAACCCTGACTTTTCAATAGCCAAATGAAGTCCAATAAACCGCTTAAGGAAAAAAAAATAACTCATTTTAGAAAATCTTTGTATAACACTTGAAAGTTTTTTTTTTTAAAGAAGTTTGACTTTTAAAGGATCAGATTCCAATTCTGCTGATCATCACTTAATTGGAACAGTTTGCTTTGCATCAGTCCTGTATAAATGATATACTATAGAACAGCAGACTTGGTACTAAGTTGCCTTGGGCAGATTTCAAACTGTGGTATATAAACACAATAAACCATCATATGAAGTTTAAACAATATGAGATGGCAACAGATTGCACAGTTGAATCACTAAGGTGATGTAAAATAATTGTTCTAAAATGCACCATCACCATTAAGCAAACTATTCCTAAATGTGCCCAGCACTGGGCTAGGTGGTGGATTTATTAAGCATATTAAGCATTGCTTTCACTTTTAAGATTTGAAGGTATTACAGAACTTTCATATTTTTAAAGGTTAAGTGAGATTTTAAATGTACAATACAGTCATTATGTAACAGGCATAGAATAAATACTGTTTCATGACTAGGAGAGTGGTTTTTTTGTTTTTGTTTTAGTGCGCTAGCAACTCTATTTTCAAATGTTATAGAATTCTTAAGGATATGAAAACCTATATATAAGAAAGGGGTGCCTCATCCATTCATTTGTTTTGTGCAATAAGTGTTTTAACACAGGCATGCCATTTCTGAGTTAAGGGTGAGGCTAAGCTGTACTTCAGCGTTTCTCTATCAAGCAAAAAACAATTTCAGCAACGGCACTCATTTCCCCTGGTAATTTTTTTTTCATGGCGAGTTACTAAATGCTAGATGCTAGAGTCAAAAAGAAACCTGACATCTGGGGAGGTGTTGAAGGGGTGTTAATAGTTCTAGTTAGACGTTTGGCGGAGCATTGAGGATAAGATTTTTAAAACACCAAATGCAAGGGGGGGGGGTTATGGTTTCGTAGGGACTCTCTCCCCTCTCCACTCTCTCTCTCGCCACCAGTCCATATCCCCCCCCCCCCCAGTTTAGAGGCGGGTTCAGCGAGATTAAGCTGCAGGAAACCGAGAGGCTCCACAGCGCTGCCGCCCCGGCCTCGTGATGTAATTGTTATTTCTTATTCGGAGACTGTACCGAGGAGAACTGCCGAAGAAGTGGCAGCCCTGTTCTTTTTGCCTTGTCTGGTAGGGTCAAATTCTTCCCGGGATGATGTAGATTCGCTGACAGACTCTGCCGGAGACTTCGCAGTGACAAAGCAGCTGAAGATAAACCCTGCTCCTGGGTCCTACGTCCGTCCAAGCAGCTGAACGGGGCACTCCTCAGGTCTCCTCCCCAGTTTTCCTCTCCGAGTCACTCCACATTTATTCCTGGGTGCCTACTACGTGCTAAGGCGTGGGGTCAAAGTGACCTGGAGTTAGTGCCCGTGCCCCCCAAGATTAAAGCAGGACACACAGATTACAAGGTGGTGGAAGCTGGGGGTGGGTGAGAAGGAGCCGAGGGAACGCGTGTCGTGGGGTGAAATGGGAGGGGGACGCCAAGGCGCCAGCACCCAAGCGGGACCTGGGCGTCCCGGCCCCCAGGCTGTGTCCCAAACGCGAGCCCTCGGCCTGTGTAACGAGAACAAGCCCCCGGGCCCGGGAGGAGCTGTCCAGGCTCCTCCGGCGGTCAGGGGCGGCTGGACAGAGCCGGGAGCCGAGGGGGCCGGCTCGGGCGCTTGGAGCACCCACCTCTCCCGGGCGACGCGGTCCTCCCGCCGCCTTTGGGCCCTGCAGCCCCCGCCCGGCCATCCGGAGGGCGGGCAAGGAGGAAAACAACAAAAAGGGGGGGGGGGGGGGCTCCTCAGCTCCCACGAGCTGCGGGGACCCGAGCTGCTTTCTCCTGCCCGGGTGACAATGGGAGGGAGGGGGAAAAAAGGGTTAAGAAACTTGGCTGAAGAGCTGAATGGCGTGGAGCGGCGAGGGGAGGGACTGGGCCGCGGCGGACTCGGCGGCGGAGGGAGGAGCGCGGCTGCGGGCGGGCGGCGAGCGAGGCGCTCAAAGTCAGCCTCGCAGACATTGCAGCAGAGCCCCGAACTCGGGAGGAGGCGGCGGCGGCGGCGGCGGCGCGGCGGTGGCGGAGGAGGCGGAGGAGGCGGAGGAGGCGGAGGAGGCGGAGGAGGCGGAGGAGGCGGCGGCCGAGGCGGAGGGACGACCCGGCCCCAAGCCCTCCCTCCCGCCAGCGCACGCCCGCCGGTGGCCCCGCGGCCGCCACTGTGCTTGGCAGCACTGCTGCTCTGAGGGAAGAGCTCGCCGGGGCGCCGGGGGAGGACGGGGCGGCGGGGCGCCTTCGTGGAGTGAGCCTGACGGAGCCCAGGCTCGGAGCCGCGGCGGCCTCGGGTGAGTGGCGGCCGCGGCCGGGGGCTCCGGGAGCGGCCGCGGGCGCCGCCGGAAACGGCCCGGGAGCGCGGCCGGCGGCGGCGGCGGCGGCGTTGGAGGCGTTGACGGGCAGGGCCGCGGGGGCGTCGGGGCGGCGGGGACCGCGCGGCCGCCGGCGGGAGCGAACGCGGACGGCGGGGTGGGCTCGGCGGCGGGGAGGAATTGTTTCCGGGGATACTCCGCCCCTCCTGCGGGGTCCGAATCTTCCCGGGAACTCGGGGGGCCCAGGCAGCCGGGCCGGCAAGTTGTGGAGTTGGCTCCGGGCTCACCGCCCGGTCCGTGGCAGTCCTGGGCCGAGGGGCAGCCGCCGTGTGTCCCCTGAGGCGGACCGGGCACGGGTGGCCCGGCCCGGGTCGCGCGCCCCGCTCGTCTGCTCCCTCGGCTCGGAGTGCCGGGCGCTTCTCGCCGCGCAGCTCTCGGTTCTGCTGCCCGGGGCGACCTGGGCGGCGCCGGGGGCTGCCACCTGCCTCTCGCCCGGTGCCTCCCTGCTCAGTGCTCGCCGGATTCCGGGTCAAGAAAAGTGAACAGGAAAAAGGGGACGGCTCTCTGGGCCCCCACCAGACCCCCCAGGCGTGACCGGTCGGTCGGTCCTTGTCCTCCCCCCGCACCCCCCTGCCCCGAGGGCGAGGCTTTTTGGACCCGAGGCCTCAACCATCACTTTAGCCCTGAGCCAGAAGCGGGGCTCACATTTGGGGTGAGCCCTGTGGAGGTCCTGGGAGGCTTCTTTTCTCTCTTATATCCGTGTCCTCCTTACTACTAGTGAATATGGTTTTATGAACGGTTTCCCTGGAAGTCTACAAACCCTCCCATCCTTCCAAAGTTGTTTCCAAATTTTTAACCAAGAGTTGGTGTTCGGGCTGAAGGAACAAAGGAATCAACTGTGTCTCGTAGGCAAACAAGCTGGGAGTCTGTGACACATGTTGATCTCTGAAGCATTACAGGCGGTTCTACCTTCTATCTCATTAGTGATTTAATTGGTTTCTGAAGATAGTAAAAGAAGAACAGAATGATAAGTACTTTTGCGTTAAATTTCTTAATAGGACATTTTATTTTGGACAAAAATTAAGACGTTCCTAGCTACAAGGGCTTTTCACTCAGTCGGTGGAACTAAGTTGGAGTTTGTCTCCGGTGATGTAGATGATTAAATTGTGAGATTGTGCGGGGCTGAAAAACTGTCTTTAGAGGAAGAAAGACTGTCTAGGTGTCCAAAGTAAAACTAGCGTTGGGTTATATACGATGAGTACTCTTTACATTTGGGAGGCTGGGATCTGTGAAGCAGAGGGCTTTGGTTTAATTCATTCTTTAAAGTTATGAATTACATTGAACCTGCTTAGTAGTGAACCATAGGTTTAGCAAATGGGTGCATCCTCCCGATGGATTATTCAATGTTTAACCACCAGGTTGCCACCTTCGTGGGAGAGACACTGAAATAAGTGGAACTTCTAAACAAATATAGTGCTTCAATCGCCTGGCACCTAAGTAGGTTGCTGCCTGGAGTATGTTGAAATGTTTTTCACCTTAGAAATAAGTTGCTTTGGTTTTGCCCGGTGGTTTGGTAATGTCGAGTGGGTTTAGCTGGTTCAGAGAGTAAGGCTTCATCAGCAGTAGTAACTTTTCTCTGTCTGGAATTAGTTCCTAGAGACAAAGAAGAACAATCAGTCATTGGAACAGCTACTCCTCTGCAGACTGTGGGACTGACTGTTCTTCCAGCCCGCTTCATTCACTCTGGTGGGGAAACACCTCTTTCCATACTTACCCTGAAAGTGCCTGAAGAATAAATACATATTAAAAAAAAAAAAAAAAAAAGAGGACTGCTCATTGTTAGTTTTACTCATAAAGTGAGATCTCCGCAGTGCTTTTGAAGCAGTTGAAACCCTGGTGTAATGTCTGTGGGAAAACTTGACTTAGATCCATTTCTTGAATTTGTCTCCAAAACTCTGTAGAACTTGGATTTTACTAATTTAAACACCCTAAAAGATTGTAAGTTTGTAATAAAGAAGTGTCTGTAAAGGAGGCTAAAGGCTCTTCTGACTCTTGCAGTTTTAAGAGCAAAACATCATGATAAAAAATAACCTATACCACCACCTAGAGTCTGTTTGTTAGTTTATTGCTCCTGAAGTTTGCTTAAATTGACATGTCTCTTGTGGCTCCAGTATAGCCAGAAAATGATCAAGAAGTGCTAGCTTTCAAAAAGTCATCCAAGAGAACAATTATTTGTGTAATAAATAGAAAGTGCCAATTTAAATTATCCATGCTACCTTTAGAAATGAAAATTATGACATATCAAGTGGAGTGGCTGTTCTCCACAAGATACTAATTCAAAAGAATTTAAAACGGAGTTTTCAGTTTGTGCTCCAAGGTAGCGCTCTGATTGCTTCAAGACTTTTCTGCATTGTTAACCAGAGATTCAAGAAATCTTACAGATTAGACGTCATTAGGACTTTCTGAGGTGCATTTCAAACAGAAGCAATGATAAAATTATAAAGGAGTGTTAAAACTCCAGAAATTCTGGAGATTCAAAAGGCAAGAGAGAGTGTAGGCAAAGTAGACTTAGGGTTCAGAGATGTGAAAAATAAATCAGTGTGAAATAAAGTGGTAGTCTGTCTTGCTGGTAGTTTATACACGGTAAAGCAATCTGTTAAATGGGAGACCTGGGGATGGCAGCTTTAGTGCCATGTGGCTTATCCCATTGTCTGGAGGAAGTAACGTTCCTTCCTTACGTGGTGTAACCTGAGAGAAAGATGGCCTCCAAGATCTTTAATTAAGTACCAGTTGAACAGAGAGAACTAGAGCACTGTATTAATTCTGTCAAACATCACTATTTTAGAACATTGAGGACAACTAAAAATGAATTAACTCATATCTGAAAGCAGAGTTTTTATGGAAGGTGACAGATGAGGCAAAATATGTCAATCTAATGGAACAAGTAGGGAGATAAGAAGATATGTCATCCTTGGCTCTCTAGGAGCGAAGAAGGTTATTATTAATTGTACAGATTTCATTGCAAACCAATACTAGGCGTCAATGATACAGAAGGTAATTTTGAATCAGTGGCTTGGGATATATGATGTTAAAGGGATGAGGCTTTTAATTTTAAGACTTGCAGTTTGTAAGAAACTTGAAAGCTCATGTTTTAAGTGTTGTTTTGGAAAAGCGATACTAGTTTTGTGTATCAGGTTAGAAGATAATTCTGCCAAAATAAGTGCAAAACGTCTGATTTTCATCAAGGAAGTATTGTTCAGCTTAAATTGTGATGGGATCGGTTTTGTTTTTAAACTTTAGATTGCCGGATACAGTTAGGTTTTAGAGTGTAGGTTAATAGAGAAGAATTCTAGTTTATCTATCAGTGCTACACACCTCTGTCTGTATGGCTCTCTCCTCTCTCACCCCCTTTTCTAAAATAAATAGCTTGTACATTTTGGGATGTGTTTTTTCATGAAAATTGCCTTCATTCGTAGCTTCCCTTCTTGGCCGTGGTGGGGTGCAGTTCCTTTACTCCTGTGCTTTTTCCATATGCCCCTTCATAGGGCTAATACACCATCCAAGTGCATTTTGTTTTGTTTTAATACTGATTTACTGTTTTGTTGGGGAAGACTGGGGAAAGAAGCATTTGCTCTTTTAACAAAGCCCCTGTACCCATGTCTTCCAACTGAGGAAATATTTTTAATGAAAAGTGTATCGATTACCAAAAAGCACATTGATTACTATTGAAAAGTCAAACATTCTCAACAGAATAGGGCAGGGGGAGGGACTTCAGGATAATACGCTTGAATTTGAGAATTGGGTTGTTCAAGATGCATTTCCTTAAGTTGCTGTCTGGGGGGTAATGAGCAAACTCATTCTGTAGAATATATAACCTCAGGATGATCACTAAGACTTGAGAAGGTAAAAATCAGGAGTGTCAGATGATGAAGCAGGCCAATGGAATGGAACTGAGAATTATGTCCAGAGGTTGGAATGAACAAAAAGTAAATGGAGGAGGGAGATCTTGTTTCCGTATCCTGTTTGCATCTGATGCTGAAGCAGGGACATGAATTGCTGATGGTAATGGATTCCCTTTTATGAGGGCAGCAATATTATATAAATAGTGGTTGTTTGGAGGGGGAAAATGACAAATTCCCCTTTTTGTGCCTGTGCACACTTTGCTTTTGAATATCTCTTAAATCTATCTAAGGTGGAAAATCAAAACTGGGTACCAGGATAGAACCAGGAGTTATAGTTTGGAAGAAAATGAATTCATATTAGAATACCTTTTATTAATTCTTTTAAGGTCTTGTGTTTTCTAAGGGTCTTACTGAACATGGAAAACAGAGTGCTGAGGTTTGGGTGGTGAACTAGAGACCTCTTTTATAGGATTGCTGATACAGATAACTTGATGTCAATAATTACAGAAAGAATGTTTCCTTTAAGTACATTATCAAGGGCAGGGGAAAATTGCAAATAAGAGACATCTGAAGTCTTATCAGGGTTTCTTCACAAACTATGGTATAAATGCCCATCTGTTTTTTTGTTCCTTGAAATTTAATGTTCAATTTGATGGATATTGAATAGTTAGGATTCTAAAAATTAGAGGTCATTTAGAACAGACCTTTCCTTCAACTTTACTACAGTTATGAAGGGCCGTTTTAATTTTTCATAATAAATACAGCTATTGAGATAATGTTATACTAACTGTTGTCATTGTAATAGTATGTACTCTGCATTATGAACCTTGAAATTCAAATGGATTCCTGCACTATCTTGCAAATATTACAAATAAAGCATAACAAACCTTGTGATATTTTAGGGTTTCAATACACCTGAAACAAGGTAATTTATTTTTAAGTTCATAAAACATTGAGAAGAACAAGAAAGAGTGAAACATGATACATTTTACCACTGTATTAGCATTTTGTTAAAATTAATACCTTAAACCATGCTAGGGATAACATTTGGCCTAGAACTCTAGGAGCAATATAATG